TAAATACGATATTCTATACAAATATTTAATTTTTTTTTTAAATTACCCACTCTTGATTTTAATGAGTATCTCGCTATGATTATTTTAATGAGTATGAGAAGATATCGCAGTTTTAAAATAGCATCGCAGCAAAATAATTATCAAGCGCGTAATATTGATGTACAAGGCAACAAGAAACACCCAAATCACTTCAAGATAGGCATTGAAAATTATGGATTTCTCCAAGATCCCATCATCAGGTCTTGATGATTACAGGACAATTCGGGAAGTCTACCCATTCGAACAAAAAACGGAAAAGAGATTTATCAGAATCGGTTCAAGCATTCTCGAGAAATCGGTGAACATACATACATACCTAGATAAAAAATGGTTTGTGAAAAGTTTTAAGAAAAAAGTTTAACCAATATAAAAAGTGTGAAAAAATATAATAATAAAACACATCTATTGAATTACATGAAAATTTATGTTATTATTTATTTATATTTATTTTATTATCATTTTACTAATGAGTAATGCACAAGCACGTCATTATAATGAAAAACAAAACCTAAGAATTTCCAGAAATTGTAAAAAATAATTATTATCGGGGCCAAACAACTTAAAGGGCATGACGTCAACAGCGTTTCGCTTACGTATTAGTAATAATAATTTTGACGAAATATTTACAATAACAACAATAATAATGCTGATGCATATTTCATCTTCTCCTCTAACATATTATCTATCTATTTATTTAAGTATAGTTACATTTTAGAGTAATTTATTTTATTTTACCGAGTAACTCCTAACTAACTAATTTATTTTAGTTTTTTTTAATTAACTTTCATTTAATTTATTTTACTGGTATATTTTACTAGTAAAATAAACAATAGTTAAATGTATCTAAAAAATTAAAATAAAACTATTGTTCAAATTAAATTGATCGTTTTATCATTAGCATATTTTTTTTATTGCATGGATGTGTGGACGAGCTCACAGCCCACCTGGTGTTAAGTGGTTACCAGAGCACATAGACATCTACAACGTAAATGCGCCACACACCTTGAGATATGAGTTCTAAGGTCTTAGTATAGTTACAACGGCTGCCCCGCTCTTCAAACCGAAACGCATTACTGCTTCACGGCAGAAATAGGCAGGGTGATGGTACCTACCCGCGCGGACTCATAAGAGGTCCTATCAACAGTAATTACGCAAATTATGATTTTGCGGGTTTGATTTTTATTACACGATGCCTATATTATTATATTCCTTCACCGTGTAACTCAATCGTGAACATTTGTTAAGTGCGTATTTCATTAGAAAAATTGGTACCCGCCTGCGAGATTCGAACACCGGTGCATCGCAAGAGACGAATGCACCGGGCGTTTTATTCTTTAGGCCACCACGACTTTTTCTTCAACTTTTAGCTTTCAACGAAGAAAAATCTTTTCATGTTTTACTTAAAAATCTATTTTAAGTGAAACCGCTGTATAATTTTAATTTATTTACCTCTAAAATATATTTCAACATATTACTACAAAATGAATTTGTGGCTATAAAGCCGCAAACGTATATTTGTATAACTACACAACTATGATAACAAGAAACAACAATCACGACGTAATAAATAAATTATGGAACTGCTTATCTATTAGCATATATTTTAAAGCATCATTTTACTATACGTCTTTCAATGACAAACACCACAAAAAAAACTTTACGTCATGACTTTCTAACCAATTAATGTAAAGTTTTCCAAGTATGTAACTAATAATTACATATAGGACATATACTTTGCAGTAAACTCCTAAAATGAAAAAAGTAATACAGGTCGTGTGTGATTCGGGTGTACATTAATTTATTGGATTTGATAATCATACCATAAACTATATCTATGAAAGTTTCTTAACGAGATTTTGATTAACGTTAAGAATTATTGAGCTGTAAATAATAAATTTTCTAAAGTCATAAAATTGTTGCCTTCCCTATTTTTTTTCGTATTTAAATCAAAGGAATAGAATTTTAATTCAGGACGTGTGTTTATTTTAATTGTTCAATTGGATAGTTAGTTAAAAATAGCCAATTAAATTTAAAACAAACTTTCGGAGAAAAGCTTGAACTAGATCTTTGAGATTTGATTTTTATTTATTGATTGATTGATGATAACAGATTTCAGATATGGAATAGTTTCGGGTACATGTAGCTTATAGTTAGAATCGCAAAGAATTAAATAGAAATGTCTTTATTGAACTCCACTAACAAAAAGTGGTGAACAACGAACAAGAGTGTCATAGTCAGCGAGTTTATCGACAAATAAATATTGTTACATTTATTATATCTATTCTATATTATTTTAACCTTGAACGTTCACCCTAACGACGGATGTTTTCATTGTGCGTAAAATGACATGAGATTAAAAAAATAGAAAGTTTTTTACTTTTTTCAACTCTGTGTCTGCTTATCAAGTTCTTAAATCCATAAATAAAGAGATCCATAAATTAGATATAATATTAGACCCCTTGCTTGGCATTTACTTCGTCGTGCAATAATTAATTCTAATTTAGTCAAGTAATTTCAGTAACTAAAAGCAGAATCTATCACTGAGAAGATCCGGCGAGAAACTCAGTGAGTAAAAGTCTAAATAATTAATTCAAATACATTTCATGTAATTTTGCCCACTGAGTTTCTCGCCGCAGTTTCGCCGGTTGTAGATTCTCCGAAGCTTCACCGTTGTTAAGGTCGGTGTTAGCTTTTCTCAGGTAGAGCCCGTGAACTCACCTACCCGTCCGCGTAAAGTTGGAACAGCCCCTTAGGTTACCAGCGAAAATGGAGGGAAAGTGTAATTTTGACTAAAATTACGACTAAGTATCTTCTATAATATATAAAAATGAATTGCTGTTCGTTAGTCTCGCTAAAACTCGAAAACGGTTGGACCGATTTGGCTAATTTTCGTCTTGAATTATTTGTGGAAGTTCAGAGAAGGTTTAAAAGGTAGAAAAAAGATATGAAAATGCTCAGAATTAAATAAAAATAACAATTTTGTGTTCCCTTTGGTGTGTCCCCCGTCGGACGGATTCCCTTTGTTTGTTTTAATTTTATTTTATACAAAAGTTTAGGTCTTTTATTTATCGATTGAGGCACTACGAAGTCTGCCAGGTCAGCTAGTTTAAAAATATATATTTTTTATGATGTGCAGATTTCACATAAGAATTCGACATGCCAGACCGACGTATCATGCAAATTTCAAAGCACGGGTACCTTATAGTTAATGGTTTAAGTATTAAAGTTCAGTACGCACAAACATTTTAGAGATTATACTAAAATTTCACATATCATTGGTCATATTATTATGATCAATTTTAAGGCCTTTAAATGTCAGGAAATGATGATAAAATATGTGATATCAAATTCTTGATTCAGTACGTAGGCCGGTTAACGAACTTTGCGTCCGCGTCGTACGACATCCATTAGAACATGTTTCCGATGCTTATTTCAGACGAACCGGCTTAGAGAAGCAATAATTGTCACTAGTTACTACTCTGATAATATTGTATTCTTGGTAAAAACTTATGTGACTTTTTTAAGAAAATGATCGTGTATCTTCTGAAACTCAAAATTGACTTTTTAGTAATTGCTTAATGTCAATTAAGAAAGGGTGAAATATTTTTTTTTTTTAGGGTTCATATGAAATAAACGCTAATAATTTTAATCGATCGTGTTTTTTTTTCGAATAGAAAAGTTAAAAATATTGTTTTTTATGTGAAACCTATATGAAAGGTGATGAAAATGAATACTCCCCTATTTGGATTTTTTTATAGATTGAAGATCATCTATGATCGACAGCCCGCTGAATTGGAGCTTGTCATGTTTTTCCTGTTGTAAAATGTAAAAACGTAAAAAATGATGCAATAATGCTAAAAATTGCCACTCATGTACGCATCTAAGAAATTAGTTGTAATTATCTTATTTCAAATTCGACAATATATTTTTTTATTGTTTCAATATCGCCGCCGAAGGGCAAATGGGCAAAACTTGCCTTCAATGTTGTTTCTTTAAATTTAAATGTTGTATATTTTACGGGCTATTAAAATTTGTTTGGAATTGGGCATTGCTCAAAAATCAGATTATTTAAAATTCCGTCTACGGAGAGCATTGACTGAACGATCTTCCTTTGCCTTTTAATTAATTTTGTCGAACATTCGTTTTTTTTAAATATATGTGATTTTTTAGAAAAATACCAATTAGGTACTTTATTTTACTGTAATACACAAATGAGCTCAGTTCTTACGTGGAAACTCAATCGAAGCTTCGATGGCACGCGAGCGCAAGGAAAATAGAAAATATAAACAAACTGACGATAGTAAATTACAAATAATGAAAGGCGATTGCATGCAGCAGAGATGCGAATGTTGCGATGGATGTGTGGAGTAACGAGAATGGATAGAATACGGAATGAATATGTTAGAGGAAGTCTGAAAGTGGCACCTGTGACAGAGAAGCTGAGGAGTGCATGTTTGGGATGGTATGGACATGTGATGAGACGGAATGAAAATGAGGTTGTAAAGAGAGTGTTAACTATGAATGTGGAAGGATTTAGAGGAAGAGGTAGACCTAAGAAGAAATGGATGGATTGTGTGAAAGACGATATGGGTAGGTGGAGAGTGAGCGAAGAAATGGTATATGATAGAAGAGTATGGAAGGAGAAAACATGTTGCGCCGACCCCAGGTGACTGGGAGAAGGGCAGGATAATGATGAATGATGATGAATAGTAAATTACAGGGTCAAAGCAAAGCAAAACAAATTTTAAACAATTCAACTTTAAATTATAACGACTAATTGTATATACCATATAATGTATAGACTAATGACTAGTTTTAAGAAGTTTTCAGGGCTTCACTCGTTTATTATTGAAATATAGTCGTGTGCGGGTGATCGTGTGCCAAGCAAGATAAGCAAGCGGTTACATCAGACAAAGGCGCGTGCCAGCGGATTCGATCGCACGCTATAAAAGCACTCGCACAACACCGGACACCTCATTCACAAGTCGCGGGTTCTAGATGACAAGACAATATTAATTCGTGGCAATGGTATACGCTCTCATGCATCATCTAAACATTGCGAAGAATAAGCTAAAATACGAACAACTGTGGCATAGTGACAATTGGTGTGACAGTCATTCCCCGAGATTCGAACATCAACAAAGATAACACGAAACCTTCAGATCGAGTGCATTGATTAAAAGGTAAATACTATTTGTTTTGCCGCTTTTATGCTCTAGATAAGACGTGTATTATTGGTCTTTTATTGACTAATTATTCTTCAAAAGAAGCAAACAAATCTATTGATCCGTATTATTAAGAGTAGTATTGAAAAAAAGGATATACTTATGGGACTCCACTCATTTTGCTTCCTCAGTTTATACAGGGGTCATTCGCAGATCAGCTGAACTATCATGAATTTTTCGGTTTACGTCAATCGAAGAAGATAAGTGCTGCGATCGTATTATTATTTGCAAGTTTGAAACGATAAAAGGAGTTAATTATCTTTTGTTTTTGGGGGTCACATCCGAGAGATAACTCGAGTGGCGTCTGAACATTAATGCTAGTTCTGAGTTTCTGAACGTCTTATATACCACCTTCTTGCTTTGACGGTGGTATACCTAAGTTGGACATGGAATTCGATACTCGGATTAAGTATCATATGTTCATATATACGGTCCAATGATTTTAATTAGGGTTGTCCGTAGATATTGTTTTCAAACATTTATGTTTTATAAAACTTAAATAGTAATTAATTAGCAACGAAAGTAAAATCACAGTCTACATTAATAAACTTTTACAGGCGAGCAGAATTCGATGAGTTTATAAAATTAAAATAAAGATCAGAATCGGGTACTTCTACCCGTCACCCCTAAGACGATTAGAAACGCAAACTAAACTTAACTTGGTTTCATAACACTTTTACAGAACCACAAGTCTGCAATAGATCAATTGTGCTGAGACCGCGTTAAGAAACGAACAAGCTCTACAAATCACTGAGGACGAAGGAGTTCGAATATTAATTTAAAGTTGAACACAAAGATGACGACGGTACATACTACCAACGAAGTGAATTTGTCAGCACCCACGCCAAATCAGGACGCAGATTTGGATCTAATGGCGCTAACTATGGCAGCCTTACGCTTTGTCAATCCTTGGTCAGTTAGCACGGAGCAGAAACAGTGGACTGAAGTGGTACCAGGCTCACCTGAAGCCAAGGACCGCACAATTACTTTGGCAGAAGTTGCCCACCATGACACGCCCGATGATTGCTGGATAGTTATTTATGATCGTGTCTATGATATATCGACATTCTTAGACGAGGTGAGCTCCATACTTTACTTGATACTTTTAGGTTTAATGTTATGACGCACGGAAACATTTAGGATTAGCAAAAGTATTGTGGTGCTGTGGATAAATAATCGAATGTTGTACAGGAATTTTAAACACATTCTAACTAACAGATTTAGTTCTAACAGAACCTAGATTTAGTTCCAACGATTTCATACATTTTTTGCGTATTCATTGCATTAATTTTCATATCTAATCACGAGCTGTCTTGTATCGACACTGGCAAAGTTTCGGGATTTCTGAATTTGATGAGTGAATGGACATACGCGTGACTCTCACGTGAATCTGAACCGGTCATTACAAGAACGTGCTGTACGATAATCTATTTTCGAGTGAGTAACGGAAAACGCGCATAAAAAGGTTATCATTTTGTTAATTATAATTCCAGCATCCTGGCGGTGGCGATATAATGTTGGAGTACGCAGGCCGAGACGCAAGCACGGCTTTCAGGAGTTCTGGGCACTCTCGCATGGCTGTTAAGGCTCTAGATCGATTTCTAGTCGGAGAACTGCCCCTACAGGAACGCTTGTACCGACGCCCGGGTGGTATTAAGCTTAGCGATATACCCGAATGACCTGGGATGGTATTTATTGAAAAGATAAAATAAATGAATATTTATATTGAAAGAAATATTATTAATATGAAAGTAGTATATTTGGTGGCGGATGATTTCACAGAAATTACTGTGAATGCTTTTAATTACATTTGTTTTTATTTAATCATATTCAGACAATTATTGTTGTTTTAATAAACTTTATTGATAAATATATTTAATTAAGTCTTAAATTGGATTTAAGTGAAGCTATTTTTACTGGTTATACTTTGGATAATAGGTTTTCCTTCCAATGGTACTTAACGTATGACCTGTTAATATTCTTTAGCACAATATAGATTATAAGATTATGATATAAGTATATGCATTTATTTATTTTGTATATCTTATTATTACAGTGTTAGGTCAGTATTAAAAACTACTATTTTGCATATTTTCTATCAAGTAAGCTTGTCAAAAATGTTCCTACTTTAATGTTTAATCAATTAAATGCTATACACTAATAGATCACGTATTTCATTATCTTCAGACTCCTCTACGCCTCGATAGCTATGTTATCACGGGTATTGAACCTCACCTCTTAAGAATTTGTATTATCAATCGTGACCGTGTCTTGTGCTGCAATAATTAAGATGTGTTAATATCGTGTAAATCATTAACTGCGTTTCAAAAACTTTATCAAATTCTATTCAATATTTTATCAACAAGTATCTCTTATTTCGTTCATAGTCATTGAAACGACGGATTCAAATCATTCGTAGATTTTTTGCCGACACGGAAGTAAAACGCTTTAATTACATGGAAATAAATTCAATTTCATTAGAATTATCTTAAAATAAAGTACAGCACAATTCAAAAGTGCAGCAAGTGCTTTCATTATAATTTTCGAATTCAAGAATTGTAACCCCAGCGATTTTTTCATTGAAAAAAAGTGTCTTTTCGTTGTTCTATGAATAAGAATGGAAAATAACAAAATTCACTTTAGCAATTATCAAATTATTAAGATTAGTAGGTATACAATATGTCTTTTTGATACCTAAAAAAATTGAGCTGACTGTTTACACAACTTGGAGATGCTGTACTTGGAGATGCTGATCTTGAAATTCACTATACATCACAACTCTATGTGAAACGGCATATTAAAAAAAGATTGGACACTTTAGGATGGATATGTTACGGTAAATGTACACTCTTGGGAAATGTACACATTTGCCAAAGAGTTAGGTATAATAATATATGAACTGAATATAATGTATAATAATATGTACATTTTCCGGCAAATGTGTACTCTTGTCTTCGCGTTTTGGTAAATTTATACTCTTACCTTTATGTTCTAAGAAAACTTACAGTAAATACAAATAAATTAATAATGTTGTTGCATTAAAAAAAATATTTATTTAAATAAACATAATACAAAAGGCTTTAATAACGAAAATTATTTTTAATTAGAAAATGTAAATGACAAACAAAACATACTTTTGCATATTATATAATATATTGTAGGTTAGGTTAGGTTAGGTTAGGTTAGGTTGGTGCGCATGCGCACCACATTAATAACACTTGCGATTTCGTATTTTGTATGCCATGCTCACATTTACCAAAACGACATGGTCATTGTGAATTCAATGCGCATTTCCCTTCTTTGAAATTGTAAATGTTAGTTGAATGCACATTACCCAAACAAGGAGGCAAATGTGCACATTTTCCGGAAAATGTGTACATTTGCCGCAATATCTACTTTTACCGTAACAGATATTGCAACACAGCATTCAGCAAAAGACTTTTCAAAATTTTGGAAGGAAAAAAATAAGTTGAATCTGAAGCCAAGTGTCCCATTGAGTGTTGAGGGTATTAGCAACTCCGGTCAAATTGCCAACACATTTAGGGAGCATTTTAGAGTGCTGTCTCCAGTGGCAACAGCGAATGCTGGTGTCGGTCATATTCGGCTTACGCGAATTACGTCGAAATAGGTTCCACGGGTGGTGAGAGACATCAAGCGAAGAAAATAGCCTGGTTATGACTCATTGAGTATTGAGCATTGTTGTGTTCACTTACCCAGAGTGCTTGCCATGTTGTTTCGATAATAGAGCGATAATAAAGACCGTAGTTGTTCCGATAGTTAAGAATAAAACCGGGGATGAATCCAGTTTAGGTAACTACAGGCCTTTAACAGTCGCAACAGTCATCGCTAAGGTATTGGATGGAATTATTGATATTCAGTTGCGATGACACCTAGAGCTAGCTGCATGATGACCAGTTCGGCTTTCGACCTGGACTTTCGATTGAAACGGCTATACTATATCTCAAGTATACCTTCCAGTACTACACAGACAGAGGCACTTCTGTCTACGCCTACTTTTTAGACTTTACTAAAGCGTTTGATCTGGTGGCGTATGATAGGTTGTGGCATAAGTTGTCGAGTGATGCAAACTTACCTCATGAGTTTGTCACTCTCTTGAAATACTGGTATGGTAATCAGAGCAATTTTATGAAGTGGTCGAGGTCGCAATAGGACATGTGCAGGCTGCATTATGGGGTAAGTCAAGGTGGCTTATCATCGCCAAGCCTTTTTAATTTATACATTGACCACCTGATTCGTGAAATCAGCATTGCCAGTATCGGCTGTTCCATTGATGGTGTGTCAATAACATCAGTTATGTAGACGATATGGTGTTGCTGAGCCCATCGATCAGGGCTCTCAGAAAGCTGATTACGATATGCGAGCGTTGTGCGAGAGAACATGGGCTCAGATATAATGTCGTTAAAAGCGAGCTAGTGGTATTTAAATCAGGGAAACTATTCCATCAGTCACACTTAGCGGCAGTGTCCTTAAGCAAGTATCGCAATTCAAGTATGTGAATCTATTTTTTTTAGGATTGGAGGGTTAGGTTAGGCCCGGAGGCCTTTCCAGTTTCACCAGTACAGGTGGGCGAGCAGAGGCTCAGCCAGGAGGGATGGGATTTGCTAACAGCTGCCCGAGCGCCTCCGAAGGAGACCTAACAACTCAAGAGCAGCTGCTTCGCGAATGAATCTACTACTAGATCAGAATCGCGACCCGCTGAGAAGATTCGGCAGGAAACTCAGCGAGCTGATTCATGGGTTGGGTTGCTCGTCGAACTCTTTGTCGAGTTCGACGAGTACGGTTACTGGGGTCCCTAAGCCTGCTCCTAGTGTTAGAGCTGAATGCGTCTAATGCAAAGGTTATTGGATCTGATGGATCCGTAAGGACGTGTCTAGGGCGTTGACGGTAACTGGCTCCGGCGTGATCAGGATTCGGGAAGTAGTCAGCGGCGGCAACGATAAGGCAATTATCATGATGCATAGTATCTGAATCACTGGGTTACCGAGACGTTTGCAGACGATGTAGACATGGACAGGGAGCGCAGGGTGTTCTCAATCTGGAGTAAATTACTGGTCCGTGGGTTCGCACGGCTTACTGCGGAAGTGAAAACTACTCTTTTCAGAGCATACTGCCAGTATTTCTACATGTGCAGCCTATGGATTAAGTACAACAAGAAATCCTACAATACCCTACGTATCCAATATAATAACGCTTTCAGAGCGCTGATGTGGCTGCCGCGTCATTGCAGTGCGTCGGGGACGTTTGCGGATGCGCGAATTGGTAGCTTCGCAGCAATCATTCGTGAGCCAATTTCTTCCTTGATTCGCCGCGTGCGGGATAGTCGCTGCAGCTAAAGCTAAACGCTTGATTTCTTGGGACAGTGATAGATACTAACCATTAATCTGTGCGAGTTCCATGTTCTACTGCCCCGATTAAAAATAATAGCTATGGAAAGAATTATGCAGGAAAATGAGGTGTGGTCATTGTTACTATGACGGATAAAGGGAAAACCGTAGTTGACTATTGAGAGGTTTTAGTCGCAATTTAAGCACTGCATCTAATAATATTACTGCATTATTAAATAGCTTGCTTTCACGTCAATGTTTTATAGATATAAAGGTGAGATCACCCCGGACAGACTAATTACATGTTATTAAAGTATTAATCGATATTTAACACAGATGCCCTTATTTATGAAACATAATAAATAATAATAACACCTCTACGCAAATTACACGTTATGATAATGCGCAATTTTTTTATTTGTTTACATTTATTGTAATTATTATCAGTTCAATTAGTATCAGTATTGTAATTAGTATCACTAATAGTTAATTGCCTTTTTTTATTGATTAGGTCACGTGGTGGAGGATCTTACGGCCCATCTGATGTTAAGCGGTTACCGGAGCCTATACACATCTACAAGGTAAATGCCGTCATCTACCTTGAGATATAAATTCTAAGTTCTCAGTATAGTTACAAAGGCTGCCCCAGCCTTTAAACCGAAACGAATTACTGCTTCACGGCAGAAATAGGCAGGGTGGTGGTACCTACCCGTGCGGACTCACAAGAGGTTCTCCCACCAGTTTATTTATTTGTTATTTGCCTTGATTATTCAAATAAAATTTGTGGGCTACCCTTTTTAATACGCGATTACTACTCGACGGAATAAATGGGTGTTACCACTAGTAAATAGAAATTATTACACTGCCCGTTTTGGATCCTAAAGTTCCGAACGCTTTCATGCCTTCAATTGAAATATTTATGAAAATAAATTGAAATTTTCGAAATAGCACCAAAAAGAAATAAGTATTTAAACTGGGTCTCGTTGGAGGTTCGTTGTAGCTATACCTGAATAAAACGATTCCTGAATAAAGAAATTGTTTTATTCACCTACGAACGTGAATAAAACAATTTCTGAAACTCGCGCCTGATCTATCGTATATTGATGGTAGTGGGATAATAATAAATAAGAAATACTTAACAAATATTAACCCAAAGAGGTAAATAATGCGCGAACACATAGAACAATTAAACACACAAAAGCTAGGAAATGGATTTTCATCTTATTAAGATCGCATTACATTTGTAATCGATAACAAAGAACGCAAGCCTCTGATGGATAATGTTAACAAAATAATATTTTTTAATCAAGGTTGTATTTTTTAAACCTATAGATAATCGATGTACTACTGAATCTATGTTTCACGGTCATAGCTGTGGTGTTTATGCTGCAAAATGACTTTACCGTAATTAGGAACACTCCGGTCCTCCTACCTTGCCACAATTTTCCTCTACAAAGATTAAAAACAATTATTTACAACAATCTCGAACAGACGCCTCATTAATTATAATGACAGAGCTCATTCTAAACGCAGAGTGCTTTTTTATTTTCAATATAATATCTTGTCCATGTTTCATTTGGCCTAAGTTTTGACTTTTGATTAAGATAAGTTCTTAAATTGAAAATCTGGACAGAATTAGTGAAATAGTTTAGTTATAAAATAAGTTGAGTTTATCTGCTGCTTTAACCGCTGAATCTACCATCGGATCGGAATCACGATCCACTGAGAAGATTCGGCTAGAAACTCAGTGAGCCGTGTCTGTGGGTTAAGTTGCACGACGAACCCTTTCTCGCATTCGAAGGGCTCGACGAGAACGGTGA